CCTTACCATGTGGGAACCTGCCACGTGTGTTCCATTGTAGATGGCCCCACTGTGTGCGGCGCCATGATAGGTAAATCCCTTGCACTTGGCCCCACTTCATGCCACCCCACTGTGTGCATCCTTATCACGTGGGGACCTGCCACGTGCCGTTCCATGGCATGTGGCCCTACGGTGTGCAGTCCCACTGTGTGCTGCATCATGGTACACAAACTCATTGTATGAATGAGTTCACTCGCCCCACACTGTGGCAGCCTCGTCATATACCAGCCCCACTGTATGCAGCCCATTGCATGTGGCCTGACTACGTGAGTCTGACTTTGCATGGCTCTACCACATGCAGCCCCACTGTGGGTAGCACCTTTGTACACAGTCCCCTTGTGTGTGGCTACACTCTGTGTGGGCTGACTGTGTAGCCCTAGCATGGGGGAAAAGTATGCCCCCCTGTGGTTCCGTGGCACATGGCTCCACATGAGCAAATCCATTGTGCACATGACCATTATGTGTGCGGCCCTACTGTGTTCAGGCCCATGTCCGGCCCCCTTGTGTATCCACCCGCCACACACAGCCCTACTCTGTGACCCTGATGATGCCACCCCACACACACACCACACACACACACCAGAGGCCCCTCCGCCCAGCCCCTCCTCCCTCTCACTGCAGGTGCTAATCGCCTCCCACCTCCCCTCCTACGAGCTGAGACACAACCAGGTGGAGTCCATCTTCCTGTCCGCCATTGACATGTACGGCCACCAGTTCTGCCCAGAAAACCTCAAGGTGAGGCCCTGCCCTCCCTCCCACCATCCACCTGGCCCCTGGGTGGGTGCCCAGGGAGGTAGGCGCTTGTGCCCGTGGCTGTACGTGAGGCACAGTGGCAAAGGCAGGCAGTTCCTCCCAGAGGGACAGAGCCAGTGGAGAGTGGCCTGCAGCTCGGGCTGGAGGCATGTGCCATGGGGGACAGAGAGGGCGGGCTGGGTGTAGTCCAGAAGAGGGTACGGGTGGGGGGCGTGCAGACGCATCCCTGCAGCTCGTTCCCTGATGTCCATTTACAAACTCCCTGATGTCCATTTACGGCGTAGGGGGGCCCTGGAAGCACGGGTGCTGGTACCACAAGCCTCCCCCAGCCTGCTTCCCCGCCCTGCCCCTCCCCCCACTCAGACCGGATGACATCTGCTTTCCCCTCTCCGTTTTCTGCAGAAACTAATACTTTCAGAGACCACCATCTTTGACGTCCTGCCCACCTTCTTCTATCACAGCAACAAGGTCGTCTGCATGGCGTCCTTGGAGGTGAGGGGGGCGAGGTGCTGGTCACAGCCGCAGCTCGCCCCTGCCCCCGTCCCCCTTTCGCTCCCGGGCCAAGCAGTGCCGTACAACGGTTGTGCACTCATTCTCTCCACAAGGCTGGTGTGTTAGGCCGGGTTGATTAGAGAAGCAAATCCCCTGACACTCGTTTGTGTAAGAAAGAGCTTTATATCAAGAAGCAATTAGATATCGAGGAAACATCCACGTTCAGGCCAACTCAAGTCCTTAAGTCTGATGATAGTCCAAAAGTCCCTCTTCCAGCGCACCCAGCCGCAGGCAATGATGCAGGATGCAGGAAGATCGCAGGCCGGTGGGTGCACCGTCTGGTGGATCCAATGGTGGTGGGTGCATCACAGGGCTCTGGCAGGTCTCAAAGTGGCCCACCAGCAGGAAGGTGAAGGGGCAGACAGGCTGGGGGAGGTTCCCAGGCCCCTCCTGATGAGAGGGCCACACCCACAAGGAGGCACTGTCAGGTTGCGACCTGACTGACAGGTTGACTACCACCTGTACACTCTTCGATAGCTTCAAGTCGACATGAATCATGTACTTACCGCAGCCAGTATGGCTGCTCACCCATTACACAGAGTGGATAATTGAGGCGCAGCCAGTATGGCTGCTCACCCATCACACAGAGTGGATAATTGAGGCGCGGGGAGGCGAACGCCTTGCTCAGAGTCTCAGAGCCAGGATTCAGGTTTTGGTCCAACATACTGGCGCAGAGCCACTGTGCTATGCGCTCAGTGGACCCCGCCTGACCCGGGCAAGGCAGGTAGTGGTAACTGGGTGCCACTAGGTCAGTCCCCACCTGTGGTGATGCTGTGTGAGGAGCGGAATGGCTCCTCCCGGTTGTCTGGGCTGTGATCTTATGGGCCTTTCTCCTGCAGAGGCTCCGGGTGGGTCCCAACGGCCAGCCCACCGGTTAACTGTCCATTGCTTAACCTCTGTGCCACCAAGGCTTCTTAAGCAGGGCACTGGTGAATGTTAACCTCCAAGCGTCGCATTCGGGGCCCCTCTCGGGTCGCGAGTTGGGCTGCGAACTGCGCGGTCTCCTGCAGATCTCAGCAGCTCTGCAGGGGGGAGGCGTGGCTTCCAGCTCCCGAGCAGAGCTGCTGTTGGCTGTCGGGTCGGATGCGACCCCCAGCGTGTCTGTGCGCCGCAGAAGGAAACACTGCCCGCTCCCGAGCCACCCGCACAGCTGTTCTTAGTGTGAGCCCGGGGATGCAGCCCCTGGACCCTCCATCTCGTTGAGGACCTTCCTCGGCTTCCCTGCCCCTCCGCTTGGCCAAGCATGATGTCCTTCTCCAGGGACTGGGCTCTCCTGACCACATGTCTACTATGTGAGACGAAGTCTCACCGTCCGGGCCTCTAGGGAGCCCTCTGGCTGTGCTTCCGAGACAGAAAGAATTACTTCCGAGCCTGGGACAAGTTACAGCCTTGGAAACTCACACGGGCGGTTCCACCCTGTCTTGTGGGGTTGCTCTGAGTCAGAACCGGCTCGATGGCAGTGGGTTGGGTTTGACTTTGGTTTTTCGAGTTCCGAGCAGAACTGAGGTGCTCGGACAGAGGTCCCGATGGCCCACAGAGCTCTCTGGTTTTACAGATGACCTATGTCAGCCACTGCCCCGGGGCAGGGCTGAGGACGTAGGTCTTTGCCTGGCACTGCGGCGGCAGCAGTGGCTGCCTCCAGATTGTTGGGAGTTCCCTTGTGGTGCCCCCCCAGCCTGAGTCTTGTCGGCATGCGGGGAGGTCTTCCGCGCCACCTGAGCCGCTTTCTCTGTGCCCCTGTCCCAGGTGTACGTGCGCCGGGGCTACATCGCCTACGAGCTGAACAGCCTGCAGCACCGGCAGCTCCCCGACGGCACCTGCGTGGTAGAGTTCCAGTTCATGCTGCCCTCCTCCCACCCCAACCGGTAAGGGCATGGGCACCCTGCCTGATGCTGGGGCTTCTCTCCTTGCCCCTGCTCTGATCCACGGTTGGCAGAAACGAAGCTGGCCCAGTACTGGCCTCGCAGAACCGTGCCGTCAGCTGTGGTGGCCACGGCCCACGTGTGCTGTTAGACGAGCGAGCGAGCGTCGGCCGGGAAGCGTGGCTGCAAGCCGTGTGCTCCTTGTCTTGTGTGGCCCGTGTCTGTGACCCATGGCCCGTGGCCAGTGGACTGCACTGCACAGATGCCTCGAAGAGTGAATGAAAGGAGACGCCCTTGCTTCTGGGATGGTGCCCAGTGCCCGGCCGGGGGAAGTAGGAAGAGTTAGGCAGCACCGAGCTTGTCATGGTGGATGCTGTTGGGGGCAGGCAGGCTCCGGAGGAGCCCTGGATCTCACCCACCCACCCCTCACCATCTCTCTGCCCAGAAGCAATGATCCCTCGTCCTGACTCACAGCTCAGGAAGCCCAGTTGTCACTGGACACAGGCCACTCTGCTCGCTCACATGGAGTTGGGGGTCCACCCTAGGTGGTCTGCCCCTTCCTCACTTTTTCCAGGCACCAAGTGGCCCCTGGCTGGCGGGGGAGGAAGTGGCTGCAGGGCACAAGGGGCCACTCGTTTGTGTCCACGCAGCTGGGCGTGGCCCCTGATGGGAAGAGGGTGTCCCCGGCACCTTTGACTTGCTCGGCCACCATCCCTTACAAAAGAAAAGGATGTGTGGGGGGTTGTTCATTAAGGTCAAATAATTTGTAATTTAAAATTAGCCATGTTCACCATTTTAAAATGTACCGTTCACTGGCATTCTGTTACCCTTCACGATGCCGCGTGCAGTCGAGTTGAATCGGTGCATTCGCCGTTGGCGGAGAACGCAGGCAGCACTGTGGACCGGCAGGAGCCAAGCAGCAGTGTCCTGGGAGAAGGGCAGCCAGAGAGCTCCTTAGAAGCAAGGATGCAGGACTTTGTCTCACGCACGGGGACACGTGGTCAGGAGAGACCAGTCCCTGGAGAAGGACGTCATGCTTGGGAAAATAGAGGGTCAGCAAAACAAGAGGGGAAGACCCTGGGCAAGATGGGTGGACACAGTGGCTGTGACCACAGGCTCATACATGAGGACGGTTGTGAGGGTGGGGCCGGGCCGGGCAGTGTTTCGTCCCGTTGTGCACGGGGGTCACTGTGGGTCAGAACCAACAAGATGGCACTTTGCCACTTCCTATGCCCCACACCTTTTCTTCACCCACAGTAGAAGCTCCAGCCCCCTCAGCAGGGCCTCCCCACCACCCCCTGGCCCCCCAGCACCTGGTGGCCACCAGCCTATGTGATATCTCGGCCCGAGTCTTGTCTGAGACCCCACACTATTTGCCGTCTTGTGTCCAGCTCACATCACTGAGCATAACTTCGGAGGTCCAGCCTCACCATAGCACGCCCCGGACTCCGTTCCTCTTCATGGCTGAGTAATATTCCATCGGCGGTACCATGGTTAGCACTTGGCTGCCGTCGCTGAGGTCAGTGGTTCGAGCCTGCCAGCCTCTCTCTGGGAGAAAGAGGAGGCAGCCGTTCTCGCTTCTGTAATGACTGTCACTTTGGAAGCCACCTGGGGGGGCGATTCTACTCTGCCCTCTCAGGTCCCTGTGTGTTTGAACTGACACAGCCGCGGTTTTAATGTTCCACTGTATGGGTGGACCTTATTTTGGGTGTGCAGGCAGCACACAGGCTGTGTTGACCTTGCGGCTAGGCTATTGGGAACAGCCCTGCCCTGCACACCTACGTCCAGGTGCACCATCTCTTTACTCTGGAAACACAAACCGCAACTCGCCGCCCTCGAGTTGATGCTGACCCATAGATGTCCACCCTCTAGGACAGGGAGGACCCGCCCCTGTGGGTTTCTGAGACAGTAACTCTTTACGGGACTAGAAAACGCCGTTTCTCTCCCACAGAGCAGCTGGTGGGCTTGAACCGCTGACCTCGCGGTGAGCGCCTCACCGTGCAGTCCCCCGGCCAACAGAGCGCCTTATCTCTTTCCTAACCCATCATCTTGCAGGGCCCACGGTGCTGTCCTGGTCAGGTAGAGTGATGCTGCTCTCTACAGCAGCCGTGGGCTCTGGGCTCTGGAGGGGCCCCTCGCGCTCTGCCGTCTCCCCGTCTGCTTCTCAGAGGCCTTTGCTTGTGGCTGCAGCGGTCCACTCTGATTCGTGGGGGCTGCATCGATCAGATCTTGTGTCTACGCGGGCAGCAGGTTTCAGGCTTTCTGGAGCAGGGATATGTTTTTCCAGCCTCTTGGGGTTTTCAGAGAGCTGTGTGTATCTTGCCTCAGGGGCTGGTCTCTTAGGAAGGCACTTCCTGTTGTTTGTCATCTTACTTGTATCTTACCCGTCCCCCGTCCCCCCCAAAGGATGGTGACGTGGAACCCAATCAAGAGAAAGACGGGCTGAGTGGGGCTTGTGGGCCACGATTCTGAGATGATGGTCCGCTGGCTGGACTTGGCCGCCGGGAGTCTGATCAGCCCCACAGGGGCACGGAGGCTGATTCCAGGGGTTCTGTCACCGAAGCACACACGCAGGTCCTGCCCCATGTGTTGGGGGGTGGTCCCTAAGACCACCTCCTGGTTTCGATGTTTTGCTGGGGCAGGGTAGGGAGGTCCTCACGGGGCTCAGCACAAGAGTCATCATCCCAGCCCTGATCGGTTTCCCTGAAAAGACACAAAGGGAAATCAACAAGGGGACAAGGTATAGGAGCCGAAGTCAGGGGAGACCAGGTGCACGGTTCCAGAGCCTCCTCACGGCAGGGCCACGCAGACCAGTCGCAGAGGAGTTGAGGGAGGCGCTGGGTGGCCCCAGGCCCCGTGTCGGAGTGGCACTGCTCTCCGCGCATCTGATTCCCAGGAAGTAGACTGGCAGACCTTGCTTCCGGGGGGTGCTCTCCAGCCCAGCCTCGCGGGTGGCAGTTTGGGGACGTTTATCTGCGCCCCTCACGGGCTCCCATCTTGATCCCTCCGATACTCGGGTGGGCTGACCGAGGTGAAAGGCTGCCAACCAACAGGTTGGGAGTTGGTGCCCTGGACCTTGATCGGGGAGCGGGTGGTGCTGGGATCCCAGACTCCAGGCGCCCAGCCTGTGTTTGAGGCACAGCATGTCACTTGACTGGCGCCAAGAGCCGGTAGAACTGGTGTGGCTGCCCTTAAGGCCCTGAGTCCTCAGGTCCCAGCGAAGTGCCCAGCAGGCAAGCCGGACGCCTTCGTCCTCTGCACCTTCTGGAGGAGGAGGCGCCCTGGTGGCACCTCAGGGTCAGTGCTGGGCTGCTAAACCTACTTTGAAAACCCACTGGCCACCACGGCCTGCTGCTTCCGTAAAGACAGACAGCCTTGGGAACCTGTCAGCATTGGGTGAGCGTGAGTCAGTTTGATGACGGTGTTTGGTGCTGGTTACCTGATAAATAATGCCCCCTACACCGAAGTCTACCCCCCGCCCCCCAGGTGATCCATGGGCTGGACCCTGGTGACTAGAGACCCCCACACCTCAATAGGCTGCTACTGGTCTTTGGGTGAGGTTTGGGTCTGACCAGCGAGCAGGTTTGCTGATGTAAGTGCAGAGCAGTGTGAACAGAGGCCTGGGCCAACTGGCTGGGTACAGCCCACCTCTCGGTGCGGGACGTGGGGGGTGGAGCGGGACATTGGCGTTGGGCATGTTCAATCCATGGGTCTAAATTCACCACTTTGGATTTACATCAGCACCGTGTCGGGACTGGAGTTTTGCACTTGGCATGTGTGCATGCATCATTCATTCATTCATTCGCTCACTTGAGGAGCTCTTCCTGAAATGCTCCAGCCCAGCCCCCTGGCTCAGCCTGGGTCTGTGCACAGCTGCTGCACCCCACCCACCCCTGCCGCCCTGCAGGATGGCGATTCCCATCAGCGTTACCAACCCCGAGCTGATAAGGCACAGCACGGAGCTCTACATGGACAGCGGTTTCTCCCCCAAGTGCCAGCGCATGGGGGCCATGGTCGCCTTCCAGAGGTTCGAGGACTTCATCAGGTACCCTACCCACCACCCCCGCCCAAACCCCCACACCGAGTGGTCTTGTCCATGATAGCATTAGTCCACACGGGCACCCACCCCAGCCCCCATCTCTGCACCTTCCGAACTTAACTGCAGGGCCCACAGCAGATAGTGAGATTTCTCTCTGCCTTGCTGGTCCTCATCTGTAAAATGGGTACCAGAGTTAAAGACGTGCTTCGGAGGGCAGCCGTGACCCTTGGACAGTGTACAGGAAGTCGTAGGTCTAACACAGTCAGCATGTCAGTGGCTCAGGAAGCCCTGGCGGTCAGCGCCTTCACGGCCTGCCCTACCTGCCTGCCTTGCGTGCTGTGCTGTGAACCTTGGCCTGAGGGGAGGGGGGTGGATCTGGATTCCCCCCCAGCCACCCGCAGTGGGAAGGGGAGGTGAGAGCTGAGCTCCAGTCCACTGCTGCCCCCTGTTGTCCCTCTGTGTGTGACCTGGGACCTTGCAAGTCTGTTCTTCCCTCTGTGGGAAGACCCCAGCCTTTGGCCTGGTCCGGGAACCAGGGAGGGTCTGCCCAGGTTGGCTAAGATCAGCGAGTGTGGGCTGGAGAAAGACCCAGGCCTGCCGCTCCCATTGGCCAGCATTGGGCAGCTGCCCCCCTGTGCCCCTAGGAACTTTGATGAAGTGATCTCTTGCTTCGCCAACATGCCCAAGGACGCCCCACTCTTCAGCCAAGCCCAGAGCTCCCTGTATTCTGAAGATGACAGCAAGGTACTTGCCCCAGCCCAGTGAGGGAGACGCGTAAGGGCTTGGGTCCAGGGAGGTGTTGGGGGCCGGGGGGGTGGGTGTGGATGGTTGCCACCCAGCTCGTGTTTCCTCCACGTAGTACCCACGGGATGAACCAATCCACATCCTGAATGTGGCCCTGCAGTCCACGGACCACCTGGAGGATGAGGACCTGGTGCCCGTCTTCCGCACCTTTGTGCAGTCCAAGGTGCTTGGGCGGGGGCGGCGGGCGGGCCCAGCTAGGTGGCCCCGTGCCTGAGTGGTGTGAGGAGCGTGTCAGAGAGGCCTGGCTTCTGCAGAGCGGGCAAGCTGGGCAGCAGGGGCAGAGCATGGCCGAGCCTCGGCTTCTCCATGTGTAACGGATGCGGGCAGCTTCTTTCGTTGCCAGTGATGGCGGGAGGAGGGTGGTCTCGCTGGAATGACCGGAAGCCACGGCATTAAAATGGCCACTTACACGGACAACCACGAATGCAAGTAACTGCGGCTACTTCAGAATCCTCCTATAAGTGCGTGTGGTCATGTCCAGCACACATTCCCCCCCAGTGGTAGGGACGAGGGTGAGGTACCTGCAGGGACCCCAGGGGGGCAAGTGAGGCTCAGCCAGCAAGCCAGGTCCTAGGGACAGAACAAGGTCACGTGCCTGCACACATGCACAATACGTATACGCACACACAATCCACACATGTACACACAGCGCCACATTTGCACACATGTACACAGCACACACAATCACCTATTCCATATGTGCACACATCACACTCATGCTCACATGCACACATACAATTCTCATACACTCTCCTACTTATACACATGCGCACACATCGCGTATGCTCGCATGCACACTTGTACATGCATTTGTACACTTGCACACATATCACTTATGCTCACACAAACACATATAAAACACACGTACACACATTAATACATGTGTACACATATGCACATGACACACGCATTCACACATTAAATGTGTGCACAAGCCACAGATATGTGTGTACATGCATACTTATCCGACTGCTGTGCACACACTCATGTTTACACACGTGGAATATGCACATAGTATATATGCACACATTACATGTGTGCAGCCACACTCGTGTACACACATGCACATGCATACACACAGGACACAAGTACCCGTTTATGTGCTGGCCACCCACACTGACTTATGTAAGCCTCAGTGTGAGTATGTGTATCTAGACTTACATGCACACTCATGTTCATACTTGTATACACACATTTACATACATTCACATATAGACCCATTGTGTTAGTCTGGGTTGACTAGAGAAATGAATCCAGAGATACTCTTGTGTGTGTAAGCAAGAGTTTTATATCAAAGAACAATTGTATATTGAGAAAACATCCCAGCCCAGTCCAGATCCAGTCCATAAGTCTGATATTAGCCCCCATGTCCGATGCTCGTCCATAAAGACTTCTTCAGACTCATGCAGCACATGCAATGATGCTGAATGCAGGAAGATCACAGGCCCGAGGTGGAAAGTCTTGTGGATCCAGTGGCGGTGGAAGCATCTCAGCGCTGGCCGATATCAGTGTGGCACCATGTGGCTTGTCAACAGAAATGTCGAATAGAGTGAGAGAGAGTCCAGAATCTTTATGTTAAGGCCACGCCCACACAGGCATCATTGGCTATGGCCTGATTGACAGGATAGACCCCACCCCTTCACTCATAATTCTTTCAAGTTGACATGAGATTGCCTACCTACCACACCCACCCATTTACACATGTAGCTCCATGAATGCACACAGCTCATGTGCACCCGGGTCTGCACACACGTGTTCACACACATGTATACACACATTCATGTAGGATGTGTACATACCCACTGTATTAGTCTAGGTACTTTGGAGAAACAAATCCACGGCGACTCACGTATAAGAGAGAGTTTTATGTAAAGAAAATGTGCATCACAAAAACATCCCAACCCAATGCTGCCCAAGCCAACAAGTCCAACATTAACCCATACCCAACACCAGTCCACAAAGTCCTCCACCTCACAAAACAGAGGCAATGATGCCGACTGCAGGAGGAAAGCTGAGTCAGTGAACGTGTAAGCATCTCAGCACTGGCAGGGGTCTCCACACGGCTGCTCCAGCACCCAGGGCTGCATCGGGATAGATCCATGCGGCTTCTCCTTGGGGATGTCTTGTAGGAAATCCATCTTGCAAGCTGAAGCAGGGAACTGCTAAGGCAGCTGCACCCGATGCAACCATCACAAAACAAGAGACCCGAGAACTAGAAAGGCGAGGCTTCACCACCCATTTATCCCTCCGCCTTTCAACCAGCACCACATGTGATTATCGGCCAGGCTGGCACAATTAACTAACTCACCCACCCACACACTCACATGGACACGTGTGGGCCTGCATACACTTTCCTGTGCAGGTGCCCCGTGAGGACCAGCAGTCTGGCTGGCACCCCTTTCATTCCGCAGCCCCTCCCTGCACCACCCCACCACCTCCCACAGCAGGGGTCTTCTGAGCTCTCACCTCTCAGGAACAGGCCTGGCTCGGTGTGTCCCCTAATCATTTCCCTCACCACCCTGACACGGCAGGCAGCGTCTTACTCCCCCGTGCCCTGACAGTTTCCCTGGTTCATCCCAGTCTCGGCACGGACCAGAACTTCACGGATGGCCCTTGATGGCCCAGTAACGTCCCGTTGCCTGCACGGGCCACCTTTTGTTTGCCCGTCCATCACCAGCACCTCTTTTTTCCCCCTTTAGTAATAGTGTTGGGGAGGTATAATTCACAATCCCTACGACTCACCTCCAGCTCATGCGTTTGAAAGGTCTGCCTGGAATTGCACATAATCACCCCTCCATCCGTTGTAGAGAGTCTTCATCACCCTCAAAAGAAGCCCCTCTCCACCTCCATCCCCAGCACCCTCGGCCTCTGAGCCTGGCTGGTGCTGGCGGGTGTCGGTGAGACCTCGTGTGACCAGTAGAACCGCCCACAGGGTTTTCTAGGTGGACCTTACAGGGCTGCTGGTGGGCTGCCAGCCTGGTTGCAGACAGCAGACATTTCCAGTCTGTGCTAACACGCGGGACATGCTACTCAGAGTCAAGTCAAGCGGCGTGCCAGCAGTCTGCACGCCTGGCGTCTCTGACTGCCAGGACCCATCCAGGCCGTAGCGCGGGTCGGGTTGTCACGTCCCCTGTGTCTCTGCTTTTCAATGCAGAAGAATATCCTGGTGGAGTATGGACTCCGGAGAATCACGTTCTTGATCGCCCAGAAGGTCAGTCTGTCTGTATGACTCTCGGCCCTCCTCCAAAGCCCCGTCCTGTGGGTCCAATTGCCATCCTGCAGATTGGGGTGGGAGAGATCGATCATGAACTGGAACATGGAGCCTGTTCTGACCCAGAGCGACCCTCTAGGATGGAGTAGAACTGCTCCCGGGGTGGGGATGGGGGTGTTCCAAACCCCAAATCTTTACGGGAGTAGACAGCCTCATCTTTCTGCCTTGGGGCAGCTGGTGGCTTTGAACTTGTAACCTCATGGATGGCAGCCGGGTACTAATCTCCGGTTCCACCAGGGCTCCTGAGACAGGAGGAGGCTTTCTAAAGGAACCACTCTAGAAGCAGATTGGGTTATGTATTTATTTTTGAAACAAACCACCAAGTAAGTGCGCCAATTATTTAACCAGCCTGGCTTGACGGAATTGTCTTCTGTTGTCTTTTTGCAGAAAGAATTTCCCAAGTTTTTTACATTCAGGGCAAGAGACGAGGTAGGAGCCCCGGAAACCCTGATGCACCTTTACATCCATGGAGCGCGTGGCCCCGGTTCTAGACCGTGACAGCCGTGGGTGGGCGCCCTGTCCTCTGGGGTCGTGATTCCGGCTGGAACGTGGGTTTTTGGAGCAGAGCCCGTGCTGAGGTAGTTCTCAGTCCCCCCAGCTCCGATGGGACGCTTTCTCCCTTGGGTCATCTGGGAAGTTGCTGGTGTGGTCAGTCGGACGGCTTAGCCTATCTCTTTTCCTTAGTGTTTCTTTTTCACCTAGGACAGAGGTTGCCAAACTGTGCCCTGCCGGCTGTTGCTGTAAATGATGTTTTGTTGATAGCCGTGCAGCTTCCACACATTTATCAGTTGGCTGACCTGTTCCCAGCACAGGCCCGGACCTCATGCAGGTTCAGTGTTCTGTTCTGGAATGGACCTGAAGAGGTGCCTTTCCTAGCGAGGAACCATCCCTCCTCTGGGTTCTCCGCTCACTGCTCATTTTGATCTTCAGCACGACCGGGTGCTTCTTTTGGGGGGACTGTTTATCACAGAGAAGCCAGGGCTCAGTGACACCTGGACGGCATCTGCCTGCTGGCTGTGCTGGCAGATCTGCTGGGGTCAGCTTGGTTCAGCGGGAGCTCAGGAGCTCTGAGGCTGACCACACGCCCATCAGACAGATACTCGGCCACCTCTGAGCCTTAACAGAGGTGACTGTCCCCAGCCTTCAAGACTGCTCTCCTTCTGCTGAGCTTAGATCAGGAATGCTAGGTTCATGGACACGAGGGTCTATAGATAGGGTGTGGACCACGCAGAGCAGCACCCTGATGACCAATTCTATGTGTGTCTCTGTGCACATTGCTGTGTATTTACGTCTGCGTATCTGGTGTGTCCACGTCTCTGTATGGGCCTGGCATGTTTGTGTCTTTGCCTGTGTGTGTATCTCTGTGTGCCTTTGTATATTTATGTTTGTACCTGTGTATGTGTGTGTGTGTGTGGTGTGTACACATCTGGTGTGTGTCTATACACGTGTCTCTTGTCTCTATATTTGTGTGTCTGGTCTATGTCCCTGTGTGTATCTTTGTGTGTGTGTGTATCCGTGTCTTCCCGTGTTTCCATCCCTATCTGTGTGTGATCTGTGTGTGTCCGTGGGTCAACCTGTGTGTATTCTTCATGCATGTATATCTGTGTCTGTTCATGTGTGCACCTGTGTGTTTCCACGTGTCCGTCTATGCATGTATCTCTGTGTCTGTCCATGTGTGTATTTTGGTGTGTGCCCATGGGTCTGTCCATGTGTATCTCGGTGTGTGTCTGTCGATGAGTGTATCCATGTATCTGTGCATGTTTCCATGTTTCTATCCATATGCGTATCTTCCTGTGTGTCACTGTGTCTGCGTGTTTCCGCCTGTGTGCATACCTCCGTGTGCCTGTCCGCGTGTCTGTCCGCCTGCAGTTTGCAGAAGACCGCATCTACCGCCACCTGGAGCCGGCGCTGGCTTTCCAGCTGGAGCTCAGCCGGATGCGAAACTTCGACCTGAAGGCGGTGCCCTCTGCCAACCACAAGATGCACCTGTACCTGGGTGCCGCCCGTGTGAAAGAGGGCGCTGAGGTGACAGACCACAGGTTCTTCATCCGGGCCATCATCCGGCACTCGGACCTGATCACAAAGGTGAGCGTTAAGGCCCACCCCCACCCCTACCCCCTGAGGCGCAGACTCCCCGCCCCAAGTCCCTGCTCTGGACTGGCTGCTGGGGGCAGTGCACCCCCGGAACTACCTCGCCCTTGGGATGCCCAGCCTCAGGGAGCGGCTGGTGAGTGTATCCCCGGGGGCACCTGCACCGGTCTCTTGTGCAGCGTGGCTCTCTCTGCCTGAGGAGAAGGGCCGCCGTGGAGAGATGCTGGCTTTCCCGGCGGCCTGCAATTATAAAAGCAACCCAGGATTACATTAGGAAGTTTTGAGCGGTTTCGGCAAGTTGCCACCCTTCCTGATTTTAAAAAGTCACCTGTAATGGTGACAGGCACACTTCAGCAGAGGTTCAGTTGAAAAGGCCCACCTTTCAGCATCCGAGAGCACAGGGCACCCCGAGGTGGGGGGCATGGCCCACAGATGGGCGCTTGGGGAACAGGTGGTTTGCATGGGAACACCTATCTAGTCACTGTCCACACCCTCCAGGGTCACTGTGGGAATATACGGCAGGCATGCCCTTTCCAACAACTTTTTATAATAGACTCTTGGAGCAATTTTTAGGTCTCAATGGGCCTTCTTAAGAATTCGAGTTCCGATCTACACCCCGTGCCACCAGGGTCCAGCTGTGGACCCGTCCCTGCCTGCCGTCCGAGCTTCCTCCCTGGACCAACGCTGATCAGCATGGTGTGTCATGGTTGCCGGACGCCGGCTAGCTCTCCGGTCCCTGTGCGGTGACGGCCCACTTGCAGCGTGGCTAGTGTGCCTGCGTGGCCACCCCGCTAAAGAGGGTCTTCTTGGTTTTCTTTGTCACAGTCCTGTCAGGGTTCCAGGAAGGGTGTGCAGGGAGTACAGAACGGTTCTGTAGAACTCCCCTTTCCTTAGCTGCCCCCCCAAGAGGTCTCTCCTGTTACTTATCTTCCTTCCATTCCTCTAATACGTGATCCAAGACTGACGCATTGCCAGCAAAAGTCTGTAGCTGCAGCAGGGCTCCTGCTTGGTAGCTGTCCTGTAGTCCTGTGGGTCCGTGTGTTTGTTGTTTGTGAAAACCCCGCCTCTCCAACATTTCTGCACACACAACTCCTTTCCTCGTGTTGACCGATCATCACCACGATCCATTGCCGAAATTGTTCATCACCCTGAAGACACGCAGGATTCCCCCAGTCAGGATTCCCTGTTCCCTGTCTTCCCCACACCTCTCTGCCACTGAGTTGATTCCGACTCAGGGTGGCCCCGTAGGACAGAGTAGCATTTCCCCTGTGGGTTTCTGAGACTGTCGCTCTCGGCAGGAGGAGAAAACCCATCTTTCTCCCAAGGACCGGCTGGTGGTTTCAAACTGCTGACCTTGTAGCGAGCAGCCCAACGTTTAACCACTACACCAGCAGGGCTCTTACGGAACTCTCCAGGGGGCTGCAAAAGCAGGTGAACTCACTGCCGTCAG